AAATCATCTTCACCGCAGTCGCCAAGGTTGATGGTGTGGACCAGGAAGTTCCTGGAATGGGAGACCGATATTTTCTTCGTGGACCCCGGACTGAAAGTGAACGCTGACTGTTACATCGACCAGCTCGAGGAGAATATCCTGCCTTCATGTCGTCGCCTGTACCATCTTGGAAACTTCGTTGGGTGCCACCACATGGAATCGAAGGGCGTTGGAAAAACTCTCGCCTACTTGGAATGGAAGGGCGTTGAGTACCTGAAGAAGATGGAATATCCAAGTGTGTCACCTGACCTAAACCTCTCGATTACCGGGTTCGGGCGGAGCTCAACAGGGTGGTCTACAGTGGCGGAGAAATCAACGACCTCGCTGAACTCAGGCACCGAATCACGGTCGCGTGGCAGAATCTCTCGATGGCGCTCGTCCAGAAGGCTGTGGCGGAGTTTCGTGATCGTGTGCAATGCGTTGTTGAATTTATGGTGGAAATGTCCAATCAGAAGCTGTTTTGTTATGATAACTGCTGTTTAACGCCGCAGTACGCGTTCCGAATGTTATCACAAGAATGCTGAGTTGTGGGCAAAAGTCGTGCCCCAGGCGGGAGTCGAACCCGCACCTCACGCTTTCCGGGCGAGTGCGCTATCCGTTACGCCATCTTATCTCATCAAATCTGTCTAATCAGATTTTGATAAAGTGTAACTTATATGGCCTTGAAAAGAAAGGAAACCGTCATATTTTGGCTCCTAGGCCTCACCTGGGCACACAGCGGCTAACTATGGGTTTTGTAGGAGTTTTCCCCGACATTTTGACACTTCCATGAAGGACTTCCAAGTTAAATCAAGTGGACATAATGGGTCTCTTCTGTAGTGGTCAAAGCTTGAGCGCAGAATTTTCATACACGTTATCGATGCCCTTGCGTTTCCACCGAACGACGATGTTCTGAATAATTCGAAGAGGAAACTTTTATTTTATGAGCAACTACGGAGCTCTGCAGCGCACGCCGCGCAAGTCGCGCAATCGAAGGTACGCGGTCCTATAGTAGCAACAAGATGAAAAGACGTGGCACATCATCAAAAGTTATATTAAAATGTCGTGAAGCAGCGTCACTCAGTTTCTTCATGTGAGAGTGCTTCATTTGTTCTGTGGTTCACGAGTAACCTGTTAGGGCACAAAGCGAGCAAAGTACGAAGAAGCGTCGATGCTAAAAATGCTTATGCGAAGAAAAGTGAGAAAGGAAACATGCCAGTGTTTAAATCCTATACGTGACTAGAGGAGCTAGTCTTTGAGCGCGACTCCAGAGGTCGCCATGTCGAGAACATACTACCGTTTCGCGCAACACGCTGGTACGCTGCGCATGATGAGGGTCTCGTCCCTCAGAATGAACAGAGCCAACAGCACTGCTCGAATTTCGCAAACAGTCTCAAATTTTGAGCGCGCTGACTCAGTCGCAACCTGAACTCGGTAGACTGATAAGATGGGCTGTTTTATTTGCCTTGCATTTTGTCGCCCGTGATACGTCCGGGAACAAACGCTGCAAGCAATCGGAGTCGCTCAAAAATCTCAGTTAATTTTTTTTACATTTTTAGCGATATTGTGGAGAACAACTACGGTGTAACCCACTTCGATATGACACCCGAGATCGAGGAACTCATTGCAGCTGGAGTGAAAGTAAGCTTAATTCATTTCGTTATCACTGTAATCAGTCAGGGCGGTCCCAGGAAGGTTCGGAGCTGCGTATCTCTGTTCTATCAACAGTGATCGCCTAGTTATCGATTCAAACAACAATCATTTTGTGGGGTTCTGAAATGGATGTGGAATATTGGAATGTGGAATTCCAGAATGGATTTTTTCATGCGGAATTTTTCAATGAGCTGGTATTGGACAATGTTCCATCAGATAGGAGACTGATCTTACTTTCTGATGAAATCTATGCCCATCCAACATTTCTCATTTCAATACCGACAGCATAACGGTTCAAATTCCGAAAATACTCTTGATAGACTGTAAGGTCAAGCACGCTATCCCAGTCTCAAGTGGGTACGTCGTAAGTGCTGCGCTTTGCCGCGCGCGGCGGAACTGAACACTACTAGACCCCGATACGGGTTCTATAGGAAGCTGAGCACATGTAATCAAGATATTCATCAGAAACTTCCAAATTCTTGCCAAACAGCTCCCTAGATCTGGATATATTAGGCAGCGTTCATACTTCGCGACAGCAGCGGCGATCGCCGCGATCGTCGGTACGTGGCAGAGCGCGCCCCAACGCTATTATGGACTGCTCGCTTGATAAATAAGGAAATCCAACTTGTGAGACCTTCTTTTCTCTTAATAATGGCTACTAACTGATAACTTACGACTTTCTATACATAAGCGGATCTGGAATATGAGGTAAGGAGGTTTCACTTCTTTTTAGGTCGGATAACTTACTTACTTACTTACTTATCCCTTAGCTTGCGTCTGGTGGTGGGGGCCGGCCTCTCAACCAGTACACTGCTGTGGGTGCCATTGGAGTACGAACGCCCTGAATGAAGTGTCTCCATTCTGGTCGATTAGCAGCAATACGTCTAGCATGCTCAACACTGCACCTCAGAGCCCTAAGGTCTTCTTCAACTTGCTTCAACCAAGTCTTCTTTGGAGCCGTCCTCTGAACTTTCCACTGCGCAGGGCGTTTTCTCCACAGGAGCATATTAGGTATTCTGTCGTGACCCATCCTGCACAGATGACCGAACCATCGTAGCCGTCGCAGTTTCAATTGTTCCTCGTGCAATAGGCTCGGGATAAGACCAACTCCATTTCCTGGTGAGCTTCATTTTGTTTTTTTTTTTTTTATTGTTTCAATTAATGCAAGCGCCTCAAAAACCTATGGTCTGAATGTTAAAACTTCCAAAAACATTATAGTTTTACAAGTCGAGTTCAAAACAACGAAGAAAAAAGAAACAGAAAGAAACTCACCTAGGAACCAAAACACTAATCATTTTACGCAACATCAACAGGTGAAAACTTTATAACCTCATGTATAAGCTCGACGAATGAAAAAAGAAACAATAAAACCTACCCTAAATGAAGCTCTCACGCTTTTTGCTCATTTCTATCCTGAATCAAGAAAGAAAATAGAAAACAAAAGCCATTAAGTTGGGTTCACCTTTCTTTGTGTCAAACCAAGCTTCAGTACCTAAGAAAATTGCAGTTAAAGGGAAAAAAGCATGAAATTGAGTCGCTTCTTCCCAAAAGCCTTCGGAGCGCAAGTAATAGCGTTGGGGCGCGCTCTGCCATGTACCGACGATCGCGGCGATCGCCGAGGTCGCCGCGATCGCCGCGCTGCTGTCGCGAAGTATGAACGCTGCCTTACGGCTGCGTTTGTTCCGACAAGTATCCACCCCTGTAAAGGTGACCTGTCCCTTTCTGGATCTAACGACGAGTCCAACAACTCTACATGCAGTCTCGCAAGACAGTACGACACAATAGGATCCTTTAGATCCTCATCTACAACGGAGATGTCGACACCGTCTGCAGTCACGTAATGAACCGCCAGTTCTTAACGAAACTCAATCGTACCATCATAGTAAGCGTTTTATAAGGGTGCTCTTACTCGTTCTCGGTTTTAAGGGTAACATGAGTTTCAGGGTGAAGAGAGAGTAAACGAACCCTGGCACTATTTAGGCGAGAATCCAACTGTAGCCGGTTTTCAAATCAAATATCAAGGA